TACCATGTCACCGCTCCATGCGCTGCTGAGGGTGTTGGTGCTGAGACCACTGCTGTCTGTCCTCGCCGTGGTTCTACTGCTGGTGCTGCTGGAGGTCCTGCCGCTGGAGGTGTTGGTGGCGCTGGTGCTGTCGCTGAGGGTGCTGGTGCTGTCCCTGCTGAGTCTGGAGCTGCCGCGCGGCCTCGGCCGTACTTCGTTCCGCTCCTGCAGCAGGTTCTTGGGCTTTCTCCTCCGGTAGAGTGTCCACGGCCTGTCCTGTCGCAGTCACTGTTGGAGCCTTCCTCTCCTCTGCCTGCTCCCTCTCCTTACACTGGTCCTACTGGAGGTCTTGCTGAGCGTCGTGAGCCTGCGTCTCGTCCCACGTCGCCTGTTCGTGCTGCTCGCGCTAGTGGTCGCGGTTCGCGTCAGCGTCCTCCTTCTGTCCCTGGCACGCACCGGATGTCTCTGCGTCCGTCCACTGCTCCTCTGCGTGCCCCTTTGCCTTCTCCTCCTGAGTCCTCTCTTCCTGCGCTTGCCGACCCTGAGTCGGACTCTCTTCGTGCTGCCAGTCCTACTGTCACACGTCTGCTTGCTACTGTCGTCACTCACCCCTCGTTTGAGTCCACTGCTGCGTCTGCTCTTGTCGCTGAGCTCGTCGACTTTGCTGCTCGCTGTCGTCTAGACTACGCTGCTAGTCTTGTTGCTGAGTCTGCGTCTGTCTGTCCTCCGTCCGTCGGGGGTGAGTGTGCTCTTGGCACGGACGTCCTAGAGGACAAGCAGGAGGAGTTCCAGTGTCTGGCTGCTGCTTCACCTCATCTCGCGTCTGTACTGCTTGCTCCTGAGGGAGACCCGGATGCACTAGACATCCCGACTCCGCGCTCTTACGCGGAGGCCGTAGAGGGTCCCTACTCCTCTCAGTGGCAGGCAGCTGTGGATGCAGAGATGGCTTCCTGGAAGTCCACAGGCACCTACGTTGACGCAGTTCCCCCTCCTGGGGCGAACATCGTCAGTGGCATGTGGATCTTCCGGGTGAAGCGGCCGCCGGGCTCTCCACCTGTCTTCAAGGCGCGGTACGTTGCTCGTGGCTTTAGTCAGCGGCACGGAGTTGACTACTTTCAGACCTTCTCTCCCACCCCGAAGATGACCACTCTTCGGGTGCTGCTGCACATAGCCGCTCAGCGCGACTACGAGCTTCACTCTCTCGACTTCAGCACTGCGTTCTTGCAGGGTAGCCTGCACGAGGAGATCTGGCTGCGCCGTCCACCTGGCTTCACTGGGACTTTCCCTCATGGCACCCAGTGGAGCCTCCGACGGCCAGTCTACGGTCTCCGCCAGGCACCGCGTGAGTGGCACGACACACTGAGGACTACGCTTGCGGCTCTTGGGTTTGCTCCCTCTACTACTGACCCGTCGCTGTTTCTGCGCACCGACACGTCACTGCCGCCGTTCTACATCCTCGTGTACGTCGACGACTTGGTCTTTGCCACAGCGGACACTGCTGGACTCGCCCACGTGAAGTCCGAGCTGCTGAAGAGACACACGTGCACAGACCTGGGTGAACTGCGCAGCTACCTTGGCTTGCAGATCACTCGGGACAGAGCACGCCGCACCATCACCTTGACTCAGTCACACATGGTGCAGGAGGTCCTTCAGCGCTTCGGCTTCACGTACTCCTCGCCTCAGGCCACTCCTCTGTCTACTCGCCACTCGCTCTCAGCTCTGCCTTCGGATGAGTCCGTAGAGTCGAGTGGCCCGTACCTAGAGCTTGTTGGCTGCCTCATGTACCTGATGACCTGCACTCGACCTGACCTTGCATACCCTCTGAGCATTCTTGCACGCTATGTTGCTCCTGGGAGACACCGACCAGAGCACATGGCTGCAGCAAAGAGGGTATTGCGCTACCTGTGCAGTACGTCGGGCATGGGGCTAGTGCTTGGAGGGCGGAGTCCAGTGGTCCTTACAGGCCACGCGGACGCTTCTTGTGCAGACGACCAGGCTACGCAGCGGTCGTCACAGGGTTACACCTTCAGTCTTGGTTCCGGCTCTGTCTCGTGGCGGTCTACTCGTTCGTCTTCGGTTCTCGGCTCCAGTTGTGAGGCTGAGATCTACGCCGGGGCCATGGCTGCACAGGAGCTTCGCTGGCTCACCTACCTGCTCACTGACCTTGGAGAGCCGCCTCGTTCTCCTCCAGTGCTGTACGTAGACAACAAGGCCATGCTGGCCTTGTGTCGAGAGCAGCGCTTGGAGCACAAAACGAAGCACATTGCTCTCCGCTACTTCCTTGCTCGTGAGCTGCAGCAGCGTGGTCAGTTGCGACTTGCGTACGTGGCCTCTGAGGCCAACACTGCTGATGTGTTCACCAAGGCACTCGCGCCTTGTGACCTTCAGCGCTTTTGCACCCAGCTGGGTCTTGTGCCTGTCTTGCCTCACTTGCTCTCCTCTTGACTTTTCTTGTACTGTGACATATATATACCTTCTCCTGCTTGTCTAGTTTTATATATATGTCTGTACTCCTGCATGTGAACTGGCCTCTGGCCCTACTCTTGTGCTCGGACTGCGTGGTGACTTTGTGATCCACCCTGAGCTTGCTCTGCTTTGCTTTGCTTGACTGGTCTTGTGACCCCTTGTTCTCCCCCACTTTGCCTATGGGGGTGTGTCAGATTATTATAGCTGATGCATGTTTGTAGGCTATAGTGGGGTAGCACATATGGGGTACAGCTTTCTAGGGTTGTATTTGTACCCAACTCTGACTTAGTCATTCCAATTCCTGGTCATTTGTTTTCACAAGGTTGCCCGTCAACCCCATGCCCTCGGCGACTGTGATGGCCGACTTGTTGTCCACCCGGAGGACGGTCGGCTTCCCTGCATCCAGCTGCCGGAACTCTGCAAGGAGAAAACGAAGTCGACGTCCCTCCTTGCCGGCTTCCGTAGCCGCCACGTACTCCGACTCGGTCGACGACAGCGTCGCGCCCTTGATGCGCTGGCTCGACCAGGAGACCGCGGCCCCTCCGTAGATGAACACCTAGCCACCCGTGCTCGTCCTGATCTGCTTGTTACCAGCGTCGTCGGCGTCCACGTAGCTGACCAGCTCCAGCGACTGAGGTCCACCGCCGAGCTCTAGGGTGGTGTCACGCGTGTTGGCGAGGTAGGCGCCAGTGCTGGTCACTCCTCACCGTGAGGCCGCTCCCCAACTTGCTGCTGGCAAAGGCGATGTCCGACCTCGTCGTCGTCGCTGCGAACTGCAATGAGCCGACCTTCTGCCGGTACTCCTCCTCCTGTTGCTCCCGCGCCTCCTCGTCGTCGAAGGTGAGCTCGGTGTCGGCGTCGACCGAGACCGGCGACTTCGGGGTGCGCCCGGTCTGCTCCTCGTCGATGAAGCGCCTACGCAGCTTGTCGGCGTAGCCCTGCTGGTGCAGCCATAGCTTCCCCGCCGACCTGTCGCGGACGATCTCCAGCCCAAGGTACTTCTACACTGGCGAGATCTCACGCAGCTCGAAGGCGGACTCCAGCAGCTCCTTCATCTCGTTCAGCATCTTGGTGCTGCTGCTGGCGGCGAGCAGGTCGTCGACATAGACCAGCACCCAGCAAGCCACTCCGTCGTTGCCGACCTTGAACTAGAGAGCCTCGTCGAACTGGCTCTTCTTCCACCCGGCGCCGACCAGGACGTCGTTGAACGCCAAGTACCACAGCAGCGGCGACTGCTTCAGCCCGTACAGGCTCTTCAACAGCTTGCACACCCGGCCGGTTCCGTCGTTGAAGTAGTCCGGCTGAGACATGTAGAGCACCCGGTTGAGCTGGCTATGCAAGAAGGCATTCATCATGTCGAGCTGCATCAGGTTGAGGTTGAGGACGGCGACGATGCTGAGGAAGATCCTCAGCGTGACGTAGCTGCCCACCGGCGCGAACGTCTCATCCTAGTCGGCGCCGTACACTTGAGTGAAGCCCTTCACGACCAGCCTCGCCTTCTCGCGCTCGACGGTGTCGTCGACTTGGTACTTCGTAGTCAACACCCACCGGTTCTTCATGACGTTCACCCCCGGCGGGCGTTCGACCAGCTCCCATGTGCCTATATTGATAATGCTGCGGATCTCCTCCTCCATGGCGGCCTTCACTGCCGGGCCCTTCCAGCTCGCCAACGCCTCCTTCACCGTCATCGTCGAGATGTCCCAACGGTGCTCGGGGTCGGCATGCATGTCGGGGTCGAGCTCCAAAAACTCCTCATCCTCCTCTTTGTCGTCATACGCCAGGTCGTCGTCGTCCACGTCGTACACCGTGGTGAAGGCAGCAGGGTGAAGAAGTCGGGAGGCCTCCCAAGTCGGCCTGACTTCCGGGGTTCAGGCGAAACCTCCACCACGTTACTCTTGGTGGACTCCTCGGCGTCCTCCTCCCCCTCATCGTCCTGCTGCAGCTCATTCGACTTCCTGGCCGACTTCTCCCCTGTGGTCGGCTCGCCTGGTGACTGCCCGGTTGCCGACTGCTCTGTGGTCGGCTTCACTACTGCCTGTTCCCCTGTCGGCTGCTTCTCCTCGACTTGCTCCTCCCCCATCAACATCGGCTTTAGTCGAGGAGCTTGCCTGGTCCAGGAGCTTGCCTGGTCCAGGAGCTAACCTGGTCCAGTAGCTTGCCTGTTCAAGGAGCGTGCTTGGTCCATGAGCTTGCCTGGTCCATGAGCTTGCTTGGTCCAGGAGCTTGCTTGGTCCAGCAGCTTGCCTGGTCCAGAAGCTTTCCTGGTCCAAGAGCTTGCCTCGTCCTGGAGCTTGCCTGGTCCTGGAGCTTGCATGTTCTAGGAGCTTGCCTGGTCCTGGAGCTTGCCTGGTCCAAGAGCTTGCCTGGTCCAAGAGCGTGCCTGTTCCAAGAGCTTGCCTGGTCCAAAAGTTTGCCTCGTCCAAGAGCTTGCCTGGTCCAGGAGCTTGCCTGGTCCAGGAGCTTGCCTGGTCCAGAAGCATGCCTCGTCTAGGAGCTTGCCTGGTCCAGTAGCTTGCCTGGTCTAGGAGCTTGCCTGGTGAAGGAGCTTGCCTGGTCTAGGAGCTTGCCTGGTCCACGAGCTTGCCTGGTCCAGGAGCTTGCCTGGTCAAGAGCTTGCCTGGTCCAAGAGCTTGCCTTGTCCAAGAGCTTGCCTCGTCCAAGAGCTTGCCTGGTCCAAGAGCTTGCCTGGTCCAGGAGCTTGCCTGGTTAGGAGCTTGCCTAGTCCAAGAGCTTGCCTGGTCAAAGGGCTTGCCTGGTCGAAGAGCTTGCCTGGTCCAACAGCTAGCCTGGTCTTGGAGCTTGCCTGGTCTAGGAGCTTGCCTGGTCCAAGAGCGTGCCTGGTCCAAGAGCTTGCCTGGTCTAGGAGCTTGCCTGGTCCAAGAGCTTGCCTGGTCCAGGAGCTTGCCTGGTCCAGGAGCTTGCCTGGTCCAGAAGCTTGCCTGGTCCACGAGCTTGCCTGATCCACGATCTTGCCTAGTCCAGGACCTTGCCTAGTCCTGGAGCGGGCCTCGTCCAGGATACTGGGCGACCGTCGCACTCCTCCGCAGCACTTTGTCACCCAGGTAACCTGGTCGACCGGGCAACCACGTCGACGAGCAGCTCCCATACGTGCCCGTCGACCTCCCAAGTCGACGACCACCTCCATGTCGGCCTCACCAGGACGACCACGCCCCTCGGTCGACCTCCTCCGGGTTGACGTCCCTTCTGGTCGACCAGCTCCACATCGACCAGCACTAAGTCGGCCAGCGCAGTTGTAGGCCGACCACCCACGTCGGCCACCCGAAGTCGGCGTAACGAAGTTGACGCTCCGCTACTCGACGCCCAAATGCTCGGCATCCTGAGTCGAGGTCGACGTCGGCCCCTCCTTCTTCGACCACCTGGTCCAGTCGACCACCCACAGGTCGACCAACAGTCCATCAGCCGACCATCGAAGTCGGCTTCCCCAAGTTGACGTCACCAAGTTGACGTCCTCCGCAGGTCGACTCCTAAGTCGACCTCCCCGAAGTTGGCGCCACCCTGAAGTCGGCGCCCGTGCAGTGGTCCCCGTGAAAATCGACCTCCTTGTCAACCAGCTCGCCCACTGCTGCAGGTCGGCTGCTCCCCTAACACCCGACCACGATGTCGGCTCCGCCCAAGCGAGGACGGGGCCAACACACAACTCCCGTTGACAACGTCCACGTCCACGTCCACGTCCACGTCCAGGTCCACGTCCACGTCCACGTCCACGCCCACCTCCACGCCCACGTCCACGTCCTCGTCCCCATCCACGTCTGCCACGTCCACGTCCACGTCCAGGTCCACGTCCACGTCCACGACAACGTCCACGTCCACGACCATGTCCACGTCCACGTCCACGACCACGTCCACGTCCACCTCCACGACCACGTCCACCACGTCCACCTCCACGACCACGTCCACCACGTCCACGTCCACGTCCACGACCACGTCCACGACCACGTCCACGTCCGCGACCACGTCAACAAACACGACCACGTCCACGTCCACGACCACGTCCACGTCCACATTTACGTCCACGACCACGTCCACGTCCACGTCCACGTCCACGTCCACGTCCACCACGTCCACGTCCACGTCCACGACCACGTCCACGTCCACGTCCACGACCACGTCCACGTCCACGACCACGTCCACGTCCACGTCCACGTCCACGTCCACGACCACGTCCACGTCCACGTCCACGACCTGGTCCACGACCACGTCCACGACCACGTCCACATCCACGTCCACGTCCACGTCCACGACCACGTCCACGACCACGTCCACGTCCACGACAACGTCCACGTCCACGTCCACGACCACGACCACGTCCACGACCACGTCCACGACCACGTCCACGTCCACGTCCACGACCACGTCCACGTCGACGTCCACGTCCTCGTCCACGTCCACCACCACGTCCATGTCCACGTCCACGACCACGTCCACGTCCACGTCCGCGTCCACCTCCGCGTCCACGTCCATTTCACCTCCACGACCACGTCCACGCCACGTCCACCACATCCACGTCCACGTCCACGTCTACATCCACGTCCACGTCCACGTCCACGTCTACATCCACGTCCACGTCCAGGTCCACGACCACGTCCGCGTCCACGACCACGTCCACGTCCACGACCACGTCCACGTCCACGTCCACGACCACGTCCACGTCCTCGCCACGTCCACCACGTCCACGTCCACGTCCACGTCTACATCCACGTCCACGTCCACGTCCACGACCACGTCCACGTCCAGGTCCACGACCACGTCCACGTCCACGACCACGTCCACGTCCACGTCCACGACCACGTCCACGACCACGTCCACGTCCACGACCACGTCCACGTCCACGTCCACGACCACGTCCACGTCCACGTCCACTTCCACGTCCATGACCACGTCCACGTCCACGTCCACGTCTACTACCACGTCCACGTCCACGACCACGTCCACGTCCACGTCCACATCTACGACCACGTCGACGTCGACGACCACGTCCAAGTCCACGTCCACGACCACGTCCACGTCCACGTCCACGACAACGTCCACGACCACGTCCACGTCCACGACCACGTCCACGTCCACGTCCACGACCACGTCCACGTCCATGTCCACTACCACGTCCACGTCCACGACCACGTCCACGTCCACGTCCACATCTACTACCACGTCCACGACCACGTCCACATCCACGTCCACGACCACGTCCACGTCCACGTCCACGTCCACGTCCACGTCCACGTCCACGTCTACTTCCACCACCACATCCACGTCCACGTCCGCGACCACGTCCACGTCCGCGTCCGCGTCCACGTCCGCGTCCACGTCCACGTCCGCGTCCACGTCCACGTCCACGCCCACGACCACGTCCACATCCATGTCCAGGACCACGTCCACGCCACGTCCACGTCCACCACGTCCACGTCCACGTCCACGTCCACGTCCACGACCACGTCCACGTCCACGTTGAGGTCCACGTCCACGTCTACATCCACGCCCACGTCCACGCCCACGTCCACGTCCACGTCCACTTCTGCCACGTCCACGTCCACGTCCACATCCACGACCACGTCCACGTCCACGTCCACATCCACTACCACGTCCACGTCCACGACTACGTCCACGTCCACGTCCACGACCACGTCCACGTCCACGTCCACGTCCACGTCCACGTCTACTTCCACCACCACATCCACATCAACGTCCGCGCCCACGACCACGTCCACGTCCACGTCCGCGTCCATGTCCGCGTCCACGTCCACGTCCGCGTCCACGTCCACATCCACGCCAACGACCACGTCCACATCCACGTCTAGGACCACGTCCACGCCACGTCCACGTCCACCACGTCCACGTCCACGTCCACGTCCACGTCCACGACCACGTCCACGTCCACGTCCACGACCAAGTCCACGACCACGTCCACGTCCACGACCACGTCCACCACGTCCACGTCCACGTCCACGACCACGTCCACGTCCGCGTCCACATCCGCGTCCACGTCCACGTCCACGTCCACGTCCACGTCCACGTCCACGTCCAAGACCACGTCCACGTCCAGGACCACGTCCAAGACCACGCCACGTTCACGTCCACCACGTCCACTTCCACGTCCAGGTCCACGTCCACGTCCACGTCCAGGTCCACGACCACGTCCACTTCCACGTCCACGTCCACGTCCACGACCACGTCCAGGTCCACGACCACGACCACGTCCACGTCCACGTCCACGACCACGTCCACGTCCACGACCACGTCCACGTCCACGACCACGTCCACGTCCACGACCACTTCCAGGTCCACGACCACGTCCACGACCACGACCACGTCCACGTCCACGACCACGTCCACGTCCACGACCACGTCCACGTCCACGACCACTTCCACGTCCACGACCACGTCCATGTCCACGTCCACGTACACTACCACGTCCACGTCCACGACCACGACCACGTCCACGTCCACGTATACGTCCACGACCACGTCGACGTCGACGACCTCGTCCACGTCGACGTCCACGTCCACGACCTCATCCACGTCCACGTCAACGTCTACGTCCACCACCACGTCCACGTCCACGTCCACGACCATGCCACGTCCACGTCCGAGTCCACGTCCGCGTCCACGTCCGCGTCCACGTCCACGTCCCCGTCCACATCATCGACCACGTCCACGTCCACGACCACGTCCACGTCCACGTCTAGGACCACGTCCACGCCATGTCCACGTCCACCACGTCCACGTCGACGTCCACGTCTACGACCACGTCCACGTCCAGGTCCAGGTCCAGGTCCACGTCCACGTTTACGTCCACGTCTACGTCCACGTCCACGTCAACGTCCACCACGTCAACGTCCACCACGTCCATGTCCACGTCCACGTCCACGTCCACGACCACGTCCACGTCCACGTCCACGACCGCGTCCACGACCGCGTCCATGTCCACCACGTCCACGTCCACGTTGACGTCCACGACCACGTCCACGTCCACGTCCACGACCACGACCACGTCCACGTCCACGTCCACGTCCACGTCCACGACCACGTCCAGGTCCACCTCCACGTCCATGTCCACCTCCACGTCCACGTCCACATCCAAGTCCGCGTCCACGTCCACGTCCAAGTCCACTTCCACGTCCACGTCCACGTCCAGGTCCACGTCCGTCCATGTCCACGTCCAAGTCCACGTCCAAGTCCACGTCCACGTCTAGGTCCTAGTCCACGTCCACGTCCACGTTCACGTCCACGTCCACGTCCACGTCCACGACCACCTCCACGTCCAAGTCCACGTCCAAGTCCACGTCGATGTCCACGTCCACGTCCACGTCCACGTCCATGTCCACGTCCACGTCCACGTCCATGTCCACGTCCACGACCACCTCCACGTCCACGTCCACTCCACGTCCACGTTCACGTCCACGACCACGTCCATGTCCACGTCCACGTCCACGACCACGTCCACGTCCACGTCCACATCGAAGTCCACGTCTAGGTCCACGTCCACGGTCACGTCCACGTCCACGTCCACGTCCACGACCACGTCCACGTCCATGTCAACGTCCACGTCCACGACCACGTCCACGTCCACGTCCACGACCACGTCCACGTCCACGTCCACGACCACGTCCACCTCCACGTCCACGTCCTAGTCCACGTCCATGTCCACGTCCACGTCCACGACCACGTCCACATCCACGACCACGACCACGTCCACGTCCACGACCACGTCCACGTCGACCATGTCCACGTCTACGACCACGTCCACGACCACGTCCACGACCACGTCCACGTCCACGACCACGTCCACGTCCACCACCACGTCCACGTCCACGTCTACGTCTACGTCCACGTCCACGTCCACATCCACGACCAAGTCCAGGTCCACGTCTACGTCCACGTCCACGTCTACGACCACGTCCACGTCCATGTGCACGTCCACGTCCACGACTACGTCCACGTCCACGTCCACCACGTCCACGTCCATGTCCACCACCACGACCACGTCCACGTCACGACCACGTCCACGTCCACGTCCACGTCCACGCGCATGTCCACGTCCACGTCCACGTCCAAGTCCACGTCCACGTCCAAGTCCACGTCCACGTCCACGTCCACGTCCAAGTCCACGTCCACGTCCACGACCACGTCCAAGTCCACGTCCACGTCCACGACCACGTCCACGTCCACGTCCACGACCACGTCGACGTCCACGTCCACGTCCACGTCCATGACCACGACCACGTCCACGTCCACGACCACGTCCACGTCCACCTCCACGTCCCCGACCACGTCCACGTCCACGTCCAAGTCCACATCCACCTCCAGGTCCACGACCACGTCCATGTCCACGTCCACGTTCACGTCCACGACCACGTCCACGTCCACGTCCACGTCCACGACCATGTCCACGTCCACGTCCACGACCACGTCAACGTCCACGTCCACCACGTCCACGTAGACGTCCACGCCCACGTCCAGGTCCACGTCCAGGTCCACGTCCACGTCCACCACGTCCACGTCCACGTCCACGCCCACGTCCACGTCCAGGTCCACGTCCACGTCGAGGTCCACCTCCACGTCCACGTCCACGACCACGTCCACGTCCACGTCCACCTCCACGTCCAGGTCCACGTCCACGTTTACGTCCACGTCCACGTCCACGTCGACGACCACGTCCACGCCACAACCACGTCCACGTCCGCGTCCACGTCCACGACCACGTCCACGTCCACGTCCACGTCCACGTCCAAGTCCACGTCCACGTCCACGTCCACGACCACGACCACGTCCACGTCCACGACCGCGTCCACGTCCACGACCGCGTCCACGACCGCGTCCACGTCCACGTCCACGACCGCGTCCACGTCCGCGTCCACGACCGCGTCCACGTCCGCGTCCACTACAGCGTCCACGACCGCGTCCACAACCGCGTCCAAGACCACGTCCACGTCCACGTGACGTCCACGTCCACGTCCACGTCCACGTCCACGACCGCGTCCATGTCCACGTCCACCACGTCCACGTCTACGTCCACGACCACGACCACGTCCACGTCCACGTCCACCACGTCCACGTCCACGACCACGTCCACGTCCACGTCCACGTCCACGTCCAAGTCCACATCCACCTCCAGGTCCACGACCACGTCCATGTCCACATCCACGTCCACGTTCACGTCCACGACCACGTCCACGTCCACGTCCACGTCCTCGACCATGTCCACCTCCACGTCCACGACCACATCCACGTCC